ATATGGAGACCGACCAGTAGACCTACCAACAGCTTGTACCTGCAGGAAATTCACCCAAGGCTATTGCTATCCTCTTCAGTGGCTGTTGTTTTTAGTAAAAATTTGTTCACTTCTCTCAACATGCTCCTGCATGGCAGCAAGAAGGTGCGCTATGGAATTCAATGCCACAATCTTCGCCCAGCTGTGGATGAAGCATGGTCAAGTCATGGCAGTACATATACTTGAAACAGATGAGAAATTGAAGTTCATTTGTGATGGGAACTGAGTTTGACAGCCCCAGTGACTGAGTCAAGCGTTGTCTTTTGCCAAGGCACAAATTGCTGAAGAATCCGAGATGGTCTTGGAATTATGCACATGGATACTACCAGAAATAATGGTGGCATGAACCATTGTGGAATGGGACAGCTCGCGGAGAATACTGGAATAGCTCAAGTATCTTTAGGTGATTGTAAATCCTGTTCCGGCTGATAGCTTCGGCCTGCTGCGCCCGTCCACGTACAATGATGGAAACATGCATTTCTGTTTTCTAATTATTTGCCGGCTACTGTACTGTGGTATTACAGTTGCAGGTCCCGGGGCCTTATATATAAATATATTCACCCCCCCCCCCCCCACATACCCACATAAAGATGAACTAACAATTTCACTGTTGGACTCGCCGGCGTCTAGAGAGCAAAGGATTAATTTATAGCAAAGAAAAGGACCAGGGAACTACAAGTTACGCTATAATGTCCACGAACAATTTCACTGTATTTGAAATGATTTAATTTGATACCCTGAGAAACTTTGCAGCTCTGTGGATTATTATGTGGATACAACATTTATGGAAGGAAAAGTGGAAAAATTTCTAACACATTGTTCAAATAATTATTGCACTGAATTGTTGAGATTGTGAGCACATTCCAATCAGCACTCTACATATTTATAAGCGGTGGCAATCGTTAGGAATAGGTCAGTTGTCAGAGTGCTCTAGTATATGAGAGAATGGTTTGTTTGTCTAATCGACGGCTCGTTTGAAGTCAGAGTTGTTTAAACTTGTTTCAGTCGACTTGATTATAGACAGTAGTCGAAGGAGTACTATTAAGTATACACCAGACGTAGTCCGTAAGGTACCTCGTGAGAATTCTGTCGGTACACATCAGGTATCAACTTGCAAAAATGGCTCCTCTCTGTTTCTTGAAAGCCTGTATAATTGGACTGTGGCTCCAGCGCTTCCCTTCGAGCAGATACCATACCCAATACGGTCAATGCATATTGGACAGACCTGTGTGCACAACAGAAATAATGGAGAGAAATCTCTCTGCTCATGAACACATCAGTGAAGTTTGAACTGCCGTTGCTTGTGGACATCAGTATAAACTTATTGACTATAAGAATAATGTGCAAAAAGACCTCTATACGTGACTACAGCTGGGGCCATGGAATTATAAATCATCTAACTTAGGGAACTGCCAATTCTGGTCTGAGTTGCGTTGGAGGCCTGCAATTCATGATGGCTATTGTATGTTGCATTGACCAGAGATCATAAAACTTCCAAATGCCACATTCAAACACGCAAGACTTTCGAGTACTTTGGTATCCCCCACCAAATGGGCATTCGTTCCCGGGGTAGGCCTTGACAAATTATGCTAATATTTTCGTGAAATTATGCTTTTCGCATTGCTGAAAAAATTGCAAAAATATGCTATTTTTATGCTAAAAGTTATCATATTATGCCGCATTATGCTCACATACATGTATGCTGCTAATGTACATGTACATGTATAATGGTTCTGTGCAAAATAACAGGGGAATTGTTTTGTAGAGGGCGTTGTACTGTAGTAGCAAAAGTTCAATGGGGTCAACGCACCGTCCGACCTAGCTATGACCGTCACCCTGGTCACTGATTGTAGTGGACTGGACATGTTATCAGGGGAGTCGTAAACCTACGCCTTCCTGGTGCATCTACTTGTACTTGTACTTGTAGAACATGTACAACTGTATGGAATTCGATGCGAACAGGCGGATTATTCCAATTCTATACGATTCATATGCAATTTGCCTCGAATTATGCGATTATTCGATTTTGGCAGGAATTATGCGAAAAATTATGCTAGCATAATCTGTCAAGCTATCCCGGGGTGGCAGGCGTCACCATTCGTTATGCCTGGATCAGATTCCATTGACCCCAACTGTCATGAAGAATAATTTTTACTTTGACTGGATTTCAGTACAAGTTGTAGAACTGCAGAATCACTTTTGTTGTAGTTGGGCAACCATTTCTCTACAAACGCTCTATTTGGAAAATATAATTTTTTTATAATATACATGTCCAAATTCCACATCTACCCAAATCGGAATACTTGATCACGTATTCAGTACTACACGGAATGTTTAGAAAACGCTAGGGAATACTTGTAGGAATTTGCTGACGAGAACTCCAGGCCAGGGTACTAGCATACGAACAAAACAAGATAAAAACTCACCAGTATACTTGTAGTAATTCATGTCGGTGTAATATTCACGATAAGCAACGAGGCACCCTCCGATTTGGTCTGGTTGTTCAGGTGATACAAACGGGCTCCCCGTTGTTACTTCCAGCAGCTTCACTCTCCCTGCGACAGCGGCTTAGCCGCTATCAGCCTCTCTCTCCATCGTCGACAATTATCACAGATTCAACATTCTACATTTATCAGCACTGCACTGGGTGAATATGTCTCGAGACGAATTTAGCGGATCAACAGCGCTTTGCTGGAGATAAATTCTCCTCTAGAGGACCTTCAGGGTACCTGGAAGGGTATAGAAGACGGGATCGCTCACGACGTTGAGAGAACATAGAAAACAACCTCCTCTTCGATTGAAAATTGGCCAAAAAGTATGTGAAATGTATGTGCGCAGATGCATTTCCACTGGCAAGCTAATCCCTCATTACGTCATCAGCGCTCGCTCGGCGAAATTCAAAAGTCGTCTTCCTGCTCGACTCGATCGCTTCTGGAGACTCGTTCTTGTTCGAGGGGTCTTCTCTTTCACCAACCTTCGTCTTGGCATCGAAAACTCGGCGTCGAAAATGAAGCCGGAGTGCCCCTTTAAAAAAAAGGAGAAATTTATAAGAATTTATAACATCTCTATGCTTTTTTTGTCTAGGTCATCAAGGCAAAAAAGCATAGCGTAGGGCCCTGAGCTTCCAAGCTCTCTCGTTTGGTATTTGTTTTTTTGTTTGTGTGTTTGTGTCACGCTTGGCGCTATCCCATATCTGTCCCGTACCGTACCGTACCATCAAACACAGCTGTCCACAAACTGCTGGCCACAATATTCAAATAGGGCTTTCAAATGCAAGATCATAACGTGAAGCAACTTGGAAGAATGAGTATGAAAGCGAAGTGTATTGGGGAATGCATGTATGGCGATAGCGCGGGTTCTAATCCCAGGTTATGCCTTAAAGGGGAAGTTAAGGCAAAAATTAAAATTTCACCAGTTGTAGTCTTCGGGGTGCTGAGTCGAATGGTCTTGGTCCGAGAAAGCTGAGACGCTCCCTTCCTACTTGAATCCCAATCGAACTCGTGCACTTCCACCGAAACTGGGTGACTGCGCCCTACTAGATGGGGATTTGTATGCAAAATGTCACTAAAAGCGCCACTTCGTTCTTATAAAAGCACGGATGACAGCGATTGGCACATATGTTCTAGTCTTTTGGACGCTGAGTCGACTGGTTTTGGTCCGAAAAGGCTGCGATGCAGCGTTCCTCCTTTATTCCCAATCGAACATGGTTGAACAAGCGGTCACGTGCTCCTGGGTGCCCAAATCACCTGGTCACCACGCCAGCAGGCGACAACTTTCACACCAAGGTTCAACTCGGGTGACAGGACTGCACCCAAAAAAAATCAAACAGGCTAGTAAGTTGTACCCTGCAGGCACGGTGACCAGGTGACTGGCGTACGCAGGAGCACGTGACCGCTTGTTCAACCATGTTCGATTGGGAATAAAGGAGGAACGCTGCATCGCAGCCTTTTCGGACCAAAACCAGTCGACTCGACTTTTGCATACAAATCCCCATCTAGAAGGGCGCAGTCACCCAGTTTCGGTGGAAGTGCGCGAGTTCGATTGGGATTCAAGTAGGAAGGGAGCGTCTCAGCTTCCTCGGACCACGACCATTCGACTCAGCACCCCGAAGACTACAACTGGTGAAATTTTAATTTTTGCCTTAACTTCCCCTTTAAAAAAATTGGAGAATTGAAAATTTCATATAACATCCCTATGATTTTTTGCCTAGGTCATCAAGGTGGTAGACGGTGTCGTAGTACCCTCGACCGTATCTGTCCCGTACCGTACGATATTCAAATAGGATTTTCAAATGCAAGATCATAACTTGAAGCAACTTGGAAGAATTAGTCTGTATGTGAAGTGTATCGGGGGATGCATGCAGGGCGATAGTGCGGGTTCGAATCCCAGGTTATGTCTTGGAAAAAATTAGGAGAAATGAAAAATTTATAACATTCCTATGTTTTTTTGCCTAGGTCATCAAGGCTAAAAAGCATAGCATAGGGCCCTGAGCTTCCAAGCTCTCTCGTGTTACACTCTTTTTGCTAAAGATATCTCGAAGTGCTTTTTTCCCCTTTTCAACTCACTCAACACACACTCAATTTTTTTTACTCACTGAACCAATGTGCGTCTGATACATTCGGTTTCTCAAGTACTAGCAGCAGTTTGGGATTGAGCTAATCGAAGAGTGTGCCTATAGTGGGAGCTGAAACCCCTCCCACCCTCCTTCCTCCCCTCCTCCCTCCCCCCCCCCCTCCAGCCTGGGTAGTGTTAGAGGAAGTGTGAGTTTTTTTTAGGCTGAATACATTATTGAACCGTTTTTGCTGAGATGACAGCTATACCATAGCTCCGTGGTTTGAACATCACTGGTCTAAAATTTTCGAATCCTGGTAGTGGCTGTCAATTTTTCTTTAGACTTTTGGTCCCTGTTCAGCACCTTCAACTAATGAATAGTCCTGTTGGTGACTGTTTGTGTGCTGTAGGAGCGTCGTACACCTCTCCACATAGCCTGCAAGAAAGGCTTTCCTGAGTGTGCTGAGATATTGTGCAATGCTAAAGCGCAGGTTAATTTGACAGACTGTGTAAGTATGCATATGTCGTTGACTTTCAAAAACTGCGGCACATTTGAGAGCTGTGAGTGCACCTATGCATTGTCTGCACTAGGATTTCAAGCCAATCAGGCCCACTTGTACCTGGCACAACCCATGCAACTGGGCCAGCGCCGGGTCCGTCCAAGTGTGGCTACTGCAGTACGGAGTTGTAACTATTTAAGACTCCCCGATGTATAATGACTCTATATTCCCAACCGGGTCACAGGTGACCCGGTGTTCTTTTTCCAAACCGGTTCAAGTATACGCAAACCGGGTCGCTGACTCAGCTGACATGGCTCTAGAGCAGACAAAGTTCACCAGTATTGCACCGAATGGGGGGGGGGGGGGGGCAGATATATCAATTCTCATTTAACGCAGGTGGTCGTTTCAGCCAGTGAGTTGCTCAACTTTTTTTAATATCCTCAAAGCACTCATGGTGCTGAATTACAAACACATTGATTGGAACGGAGGTTGATTTAGGCCATGATGATAGCAATGAAGAAGATGATGAGCCGTCAGCATCTCTATTGGGAAACGTTTCGTGATAGAGATGCTGACGGCTCATCATCGGGATTGTTATTGCTATTTTAGGTATGCACTACAAGCTCCATTCTACATGTGGTTTAGTACGAAGGGATAGTGCCATCCTGTCTGCCTCACATTGTGTTCGCATAACTTCCCCTCTTTTGCTTATCTTCAATTATCACTCCCCCCCCCCCCCCCCCTCACTTGACCGCGGACTCTTGCATATACACTCACACCATAAACACACAACTGTTTGGAGATAGCGCGCTTCTTGTATTATGCCAAACTTGACACGCTGAAGCTTGACTTACTGAGTATCTAACTGCTATTTACTGCTCTAACATGAAGCCATGCCTGGAAAAAGGGGAAGAGCGAAAGAAAAGAAAAAGAATTCCGGCCTTCTGCAAGCAATAACAAGACTTGTTATTGCTTGCAGAAGGCCAGAATTCTTTTTGCCGACACTCATTACTTAGTAATGAGTGTCGGCTGTCTAAAGCTACACAACCATGAGGTTGATCGGATGACGGTAAGTTTCCGGCACACATCTTGCCCTGCTGCTCCGCCTGCGCATACCTGATCCGCTTACTGGCTGCCTGGGCCCCAGAAGCCTCCCTGATGTGCACCAGGGTGCAGTCGAAGCACTTGTATAACTTCGGTGATCCAAATGCGAATGCAGCCTTGCCGGTCGCCCATCGGCCTGCCACATACGCGACCAGCCTAACACTGACCCTTTTAGTGCCTGCACGGATTTCTTGCGATTTATCTTTCGCTCTGCGATTTCCAAATTTTGTGCATTTCTCAAGCTTCTGCGCGGCCACATTTTGTTTACAGGATGTAGCCTTTATCATGTTGCCATTGCCGGCTCCGTAGAGTACCATGCTACGCATGACCCTCGGAACTTTGCGCAGATGTACCATTTCCTGTCAACTCTGCTACATTATTATGTCCCCTACCATATTTGTATACATGTGTTTTGTTGTTGTTCTACCAAGTATCCTTTACGATGATCTAGCTCTGGCATTGAAAGTCGGCTCAGGCTTTCTTCTTCTTGCTTTTCCACTTCTGGACTTCTGGCAGTAGTTTGTGGTTTGTCTCTGCACGTAGAATTCTTCCCTAGTTGGACTATCTGCTTGCCATTTCCTGTGTGCATTATGCCAATTCTCGCTGACTCGATACTGGGAATCAATTGTTAATAAAAGAACATTGTCTGCTGTACGCGTGATTTGACGCACGTTTCCAAACCCTCTAAATTGGTGACCCTGAACGTTCTTTAGTTTCCCGAGCCTTCGTCGAGTCTGTTTCACAATGTCTATACCGCTGGACGTTAGTTCGTCGCCGTTATTCCAGCTAGCGCCCGCCACCGGCAACACTCCATCTGCTGCCACTAGTGCCGCCCCATCTGTGGCCCTGCAGACCCCACTCCGCCGAGTGCCGCATTACTTGCCAATCATCGTGCTGCATCGTGACCAACTACGGCCAGCGCTCTACTGGCTCCAACGAATGCTGTGAGCGTCAAGCTGCCGCCTTTCTGGTCCAAGGCACCTGCCCTGTGGTTCGCACAGGTGGAGGCAGTTTTCGCCACACGAGCCATTACACGGCAAACCACCCGGTTCGAGTATGTCATCGGCGCCCTAGAGCCCGAGGTCGCTGTCGAGGTCTGCGACCTTATCCTGTCTCCACCGGCTCAACAGTGCTGCGACGCGTTGAAGGCGACTCTGATCCGTCGCACGGAGACCTCCCAGCAGCAGCGTCTACGCCAGCTACTGACGCAGGAGGAGCTGGGCGACCGGACACCCAGTCAGCTGCTGCGCCGCATGCAGCAATTGTTGAGCAACGCACCAATGGATACAAACTTACTTTGTGAGCTCTTCATTCAACGTTTTCCATCCGGCATCCAGATGGTGTTGGCCTCCTCGACCGCCACACTACCGCTGGCTCAAGTTGCGGAGATGGCGGACCGCATTACGGGGGTGTCTCCTCCCTCGGTCAGGCCAGCCGCAGTTGCCAATATGCCGGCTTCCGCCCCAGTGCCTGCCGCCGCGGCTAGTGATGATATGAGCGAGTTGCGCGTACAAGTTGCTGTGCTTACTGCCGCCATTGACCACCTGTCACGTTCGCGGTCGTCTAGCCGCTCTGCAAGCCGCTCCGCTAGCCGCTCTGCATCTCGGAGTGATAGCCCGAGGCGGGACGGGACGGCTTGTGTTTTTACCATGACAAGTTCGCAACTCGCGCCCGCAACTGAAGACCGGGGTGCACATAGCAGACGGATTCCCAGTCGGAAAACAGGGGAGCCAGGCATTGAAGGCGGCCATCACCCCTGGCTCATCCATTGCTCCCGGCCGTCTGCTGTTCATCCGCGATCCCGCAACGACCCTGTCGTACCTGATTGACACGGGTGGAGGCAGTGAGTGTCATCCCACCCCGTGCTAGTGACAAGCCCAGCCCGCCATGGGTGGTGCAGCTCCAGGCTGCTAATGGGACACCTATTCGCACCTTTGGTGAACGTTCGCTTTTGCTCACGCTCGGCCTCCGACGTAACTTCGCGTGGACTTTCGTCATTAAGGACGTCACCTCGCCTATCCTGGGGACAGACTTCCTAGCCCACAACGGCCTACATGTTGACCTGGATCATCGTTGTCTGCATGATTCCCGTACCAAACTTTCCTCTGTTGGTCTCCTCGACTCTACTGTGCCCATCGGTCCTGTCCGCGCTACGCCTGCTAGTGACTCTCTGGGCACTGCTGTTCTACGTGACTTTCCTGAGTTGCTGCCACAGGCCAATGTTGCTCTGGGCCCTGTAAAGCACAGTATTCAGCATGTGATTGCTACTCACGGCCCACCTCAGTTTGCTCGCCCCGCCGTCTGTCACCAGACAAGCTCACAGCTGGTCGCGCTGAGTTTGACGTCTTGCTCCAACAGGGTATCATCCAGCCTTCATCTAGTCCTTGTGCTTCTCCTCTGCACATGGTTCAGAAGAAGTCCGGAGACTGGCGCCCCTGTGGCGATTATCGTGCCCTGAACGCCGTCACTGAGCCTGATCGCTACCCGATTCCCCACCTTCACGATTTCGCCGCTAACCTTGCTGGCTGCACGGTCTTCAGCAAGCTCGACCTGGTCAAGGCATACCATCGAGTGCCCGTCCATCCTAACGACATCCCGAAAACTGCCATCACTACTCCATTCGGTCTGTTCGAGTACCTTCGGATGCCATTCGGCCTGCGTAATGTGGCACAGAGTTTCCAGCGCTTCCTTGTCCAAGTCCTCCGCGGTTTGCCGTTCGTTTACGGCTACATTGACGATCTCCTAATCGCCAGTCATTCACTCGACGAACATCATGTACATCTCCGTAAGTTATTTCAATGTCTCTCAGAGCACGGGCTGTTCATTCAACCGCACAAGTGTGAGTTTTGCCAAGTCGAGTCTCAACTTCCTCGGGCATCATGTCTCTCCGGCTGGCATCGCTCCGCTGCCCGATCGTGTTGCTGCTATTCAAGCCTTTGAGCAGCCTACCTCTGTTCGTCAACTCTGGAGATTCCTCGGCTTTGTGAACTTCTACAGACGATTTGTCCCACACTGTGCAGTGCTGACTCAACCTCTCTGCTTGCTACTTCGCTCGGCCAAGGCCGCCAACGCTGCACTCAGCTTCTCTCCTGAGGCACTCTTCGCCTTTCAGGCCACCAAGGACGCTGTAGAACAGGCGACGCAACTCATTCATCCTGTTGCTGATGCTCCCCTCAGCCTTGCCGTTGACGCATCGGATGTTGCCATTGGCGCCGTCCTCCAACAACAGGTAGACAACACATGGCAGCCCCTAGCATTCTCCAGCCTGCTGAGTACAGCACCTTCGGGCGTGAGCTGCTCGCGATGTATCATGCCGTCCGGCACTTTACTTTCGGCATTGTCTCGAGGGTCGGGAGTTCTTCATCCTCACGGACCACAAGCCCTTGATCTATGCGATACGTGTACATTCGCCAGCGCGCTCACCCCGTGAATGCCAGCACTTGGCTTTCATCAGCAAAATCAAGACTGATATCCGGCACATCTCCGACACCGAAAACTGTGTTGCTGATGCTCTGTCCCGTTCCATCTCAGTGGACTTCCTCTTCGTCCGGCCACTGGACTATGACGCTTTCACTGTTGCGACAACCACGGACCTTGACAGCGTCCCCGTTCTGCTTCAGATACCACCCTGCAATTCCAGGATGTCATCGTTCCCGAGTCCAGCCGTTCCGTGGTGTGTGACACTTCAACTGGCACACCACGTTCGTACGTGCCTATGGCCTTCCGTCGCCAGGTGTTCGACTCCCTGCATGGGCTCTCACATCCTGGCATCAAAGCCAGCCGCTGTCTGATTCCTCAGCGTTGCATTTGGCCGCACATGCAGCGTGATATCCAGCACTGGGTCCGTACTTGCCCCGAGTGCCAGCGGACCAAGGTTCACCGCCATAAACGGAGCCCACTCACCC